TCGTCCTATATGTTGGACAACGCTGGAGAAGGCCCTTCTAACGAGAAAGGTGACAATCTGTCTGACCAGCGCTTGTCCGCCTTTCTTCTTCGTTCCGACCGCGGCAGCCGCAACCACTCGCCACAGACAGTCAGGGTAGCAGCAACCAGAGCCGAGAGTTCCCGCGTCCAAGCCCTGAACTTACTAGACACTCCAGGTGATTCGAGCTCGCCCGCCATAACTCTCCACCGACAACACACAGCCACGCAAGAGAGGACTTGCGCTCGCGTCGGAGGAAAGATATTGTACACGTACTTGCTCCCTGGGTCCGATCGGGAAATCATCCCCAGAGTATACCGATCACGAGGCCATAGAAGGGCCTGAGCAGCTGCGGATATCCCGAGCTCTTTGATAGTGCCAACAGACTACGTCTTTCAAGCCATGAGGCGACGCATACCCAGGCTTCTTGCAGAACAAGGGCCTTGGCAACCTCGTGCCCCAGAGCATATGCTCCGTCTGTAGTAGGACTGATAGCTTCTTTGCTGCCATGTGGACGTCCTTTATCTCATATTCCCTCGACAAGTCAAGAAGCACGCGCTGCTGGTATGTTTGCCCATTTTAAGATTCGCTCGAGGATTAGCTAATGTTGTGCGCATATCATCTCCCCTTCACCATCGCCATCTCCTCATCTTCACCCACCAGTACTGCTTGACCCAACGGCCCTGGCTGATTCAGCGAGTACACCTTCTTCGACTTCAACCTCCGGAGCCATTCGTCAGAAGACGCTGAACAGGCGCTCTGTCCTGTCATGGTCATGTTCCTGGCTGTCACGGAGCTGTCTGCTGTCTCTTCATCTTGGTTCCAGGCAATCGCCTGTAAGCCAATGCAGCTGCATGGCTTGTTTGATACCACAGTAATGTTTGGTTTATTCTTGGCGTGTCAGCTGTTCGAAAGGGTACACTCCCGAGCAGCGAATACGAGCGCGGGGGGACCAGACCCGCGGACATGGAGAAGATACCCCCCTCGCTTCGTCGCTCCGACCTCCAGCAGGCTTTCTTTTTGTTTGACCTATGCTTGGATTGGCCATGTTCTGGTTATGGACGGCTGTTTCTCTTTCTAGAGCATGGTGTTCCGGCTTCTCTGTTGAGACGATCAATAGCGAGTTCAACTGAGATATAAACCCCGCCATCGATATCCATCTTTAGCAGTGCCCAATTGCATGTGAAAGTAGTCAAGCGTGAGATGTATGCACCCCTGATTGACGTTTGGCGAGCCGTTAGGTGTGGTTCGGTGCAATGACGCCAGGCGCAATGACGTGAACCGCGGCCGGACGACCGTCGAATGCACCTCTACTCCATTAATCGGCAGGTAGCATCACCAGTCCCGCGCCCTGTATAGCTCTATCGGAACCACTACCAGCACTCATAAATAGAGCTGCAGCTTCTAATCGCTTCAATCGCGACATTTGCAGTGCCAAAAATGCAGCTACAGGCACTAGCGGAGTGGAGAGCAGCAACCAGCAAAATGAGCGGGCCACCTAAGCGAAAGGGCCGACGTGCTCATGACCGACAGCCGCGACGCTGCACCCCGAGCACCCCAACGACCCGGCGCGGTACAGCGACAGGCGACGGCTCGCTCTTGATCTCGGTGGACAACATTCTGAAGTACCCTCGGACATTCCCTCGCAACAGCAGCGACGCGGCCCTCCCGCAACCCCCCATGATGCACACGCGCACCCCCCGGACCCATCCGCGTCGATTGACTCTCTGGGCCTGCTGAGCCCCCAGCAATGCCCACCGCGCTCGAGCAAGCTCAGTCGAGAAGCTTGTCCTTCTGCCCGAGACGGACGGACAGAGAGGAAAAGGGAGAAGGTGACGACGATGAGTACGAGGGCCCGCCCACCGACGAAGACCTTGCGCGACGGACGCCCAAAGGGGTCCACAAAACAAGAGCTATGGCAGACGCCTGCCCAAAGCGAGGCGACGACAAGCTCCGGCGTCACTGCCTACTGCACTGCCCCAGGCCTACAAGATGAAAGACACCGCCCAGTTTATCAAGGACACACACCATGCCTACCAAGCTGTACACGACTGCCTCTACAACGTATACCACCTCCCACTGCTGGCCAGGAAACGATGGATAAGAGTCCGCAGTAGCCCCGCTCAACCCAGGTGGAAAGACGGTACTCGACGAAAGAAATCGAGCGCAACGAGCCGCGATCACCAGAAGCTACTTTGCGACGACGAGACATACTACTTGCGCGAGACCACGAGCTCGAACAGCCCTGGGATGGCATTCACGACCGCCGCGACTCGACTGAAAACTCTAGAATTGCGCCCAATGCTCTAACCTTTGGCGCGATGTTTGTCTTCTCCTACGGCATCGTATCTTTTGGAATTTTACCGGAAAGCAGGAAAGGACATCTTGGCCGACCTCACCTTCTCCGCCGTCGCTACCGGTATCAACATCGCAACCCGACCCTTGGCTGAATCTGACTTCGAGACGGAAGAGTTCCATTTCGAATACAACCCCGAGATCCAACGTCCCCGCTATACAACGACATGATTACCCTCAGAAGAGGAGACCATATGATCAAGCTGGCTATGAGCCATGCCATCGCGCAGAGCACCAAGCTCAGTCTGTTTTGAAGAATCATGAGCCGGACTATGCCTCGCGCAATACGTACCGAAGCGCTTAGCGTTGACGGGAAAGCTGGGCATGAGAACCGACGTAGTCAAGATGATTGGACAGCTCTTCACCAGCCGTGTGAGGTGACCTATGTCGTGTTCAACTACCCGCTCACCCACTGATTACTAACAACTCCACCAGCATCCAATATGCTCGACACCCCAAGCTTCTTCTGGGACTCTGAACCCACCCTCCATCCACTCACACCGCCGTCCGCGAGTACCTCGAAATCAACCCCGCATTCAAGTCCTCAACGAGCGATGCCAAGTCTTCTTGGATCTGGGAGATCCGATCCGACTCCATCAGCGACAAGAAAATGACCAAGATTACGTGGATCATCATCGTACTCATTGTCCTGATCTGCATAACGGGTTTGGAGGTTTGCTTCGGTTCTCTATATTGCAAAAAGGCAGGAAACGTTCCTGTGGCTGGAGATTTTGGAATCAGGCCGTGGGTGGACTCAAGGGTATGGGTCCGCCCGCGTATGCTGGCCCGGGTCTACTCGCTGCGCGTAGTCTGGTTTGGTTTGGTAGTGGGGTCAAGAGTCTACTTGTAGGTTAAGCATAAGATGCGTGATGTAGTACAGAGGAAGGAGAAGGGGTAATATAGATTACGGGGATATGCATCAAGAGTGTCGCCCAATGTCTGAGGCCTAGTGCTATTCGGTCGCTTTGTTATCATTGTTTTAGGCATTAGCGATGGGCGTTTTCTGGTCGGCGCCAGGTGTGTTCTTTGGTTCTACAAATTCTAGACTGGGAACACGAGTATATTCCAGGGCCCGTTTCCAACCCAAATACATCATAAGCCTACCTTCGCCATCTTCCCCTCTTGCTTCTATCCATCGTGATCAAGCGCATCCCCTTCATTTTCTAATTTTTCTAATTTCGAACACAACAAACCTGGGCATCATTAGGCTCCAGTCCTCATGTTCCCTTGTTTTCCATTGTGATCTAGCGCGATCTTTCATATTGACGATACGTGTAGTCTTGAATGGCCCATTTCCAGACAAGATATGCTATCCATCTCATACCTGTCGTTTCCCTCCCGTCCATCGTGACCAACATCCCTTCATATCGGGGCTGTGTAACATTCAAGGGCTCCATTCAAGACCGAATATATCATCACATGTCGAATGTAGCCTTGGCTTTAGTGTATCGCAACCATGGTTCTCAGTAAGATCATCATACTCTGTTCCTGATTTGGGTCTCTCGTCTATCGTGATCAGGTGTTTCCCTTTATATCCCACATTGTTGGAAGGTTCGATCTCGTGATTGGTAGGAGCATCCATCACTCGTGCGGTCTATGTAGTCAGGTACAAGCATGGACTTCAAGTCATCACTCTTACACTCAACACAAATTTCCCTTCCAGCATCTTGGTCATCCATCTTCCCATCGTTATTCTCGCCAACTACCACCGACCATCCATCCAGCCATGAAGTTCACAACCCCCCTCCTCACCACCCTCCTCACCATAACATCCCTCATCACCGACGCCTCCGCCCACAAAGACAAGAAGAAAATCCAAGCCGAACTCGACCGCGACATGACCGCCCACACCCTGGAAGCCAAAGCCGTAAATCGCATGGTCTTTATCGAGCCTCTCTGGCCTTTATGAGCATGTGGCGTAACCATGAGGCCTCGTACGGTGTTACGGGTCTGATCTGGGCGACGGATGCGTGTACGGGCGTTGATGATAGGCCGTTTAGTTGGGACTGTGAGTTCATGTCTTGGTTTGTTTGGGGAGTGGAAGGGGTTTTGGGAGTTCGAGCTGACGGTGGTGTAGTCAAACCAGCTTGTTTCCGACATGACTTTGCATATAAGAATTTCAAAAGGCAAGGGAGGTTAGGTCAGTGAGTATTCCATTCCCCTTGCGTTCACTGACGTCTCTCTTCCGCTTCCGTTCAGCTTTTGAACTTTCCTTGACATACATAGACTGACGTTATCACACAATAGCAAGCCCGTAAGAAAATCGATAAGAACTTCAAACACGACATGAGCAATGCACAAGAAAAGCACAAGCACATGTGCCGCATTGGAGCGAAGATCTACTACGCTGGTGTGAGACTCATGGGGAGGGATCTCGATGTTGAAGCGGAGCATACTACGATGAACGGGACTGAAATTGCCAACGCTACCACCGACGATACTGCTACCATCGCTGCCGTCGCCACCGACTCGGATACTGAGACTAGTACTGAGGAGAGGGCCCAGAAGGTCTTTGCGGCTCGGATTGCGGAGCTGCTCGCGCATCCAGAGGTGCTGATGGAGATGACGGAGAGGGATTTAGAGAACGTGGAGACGCAGTTGATGAGGGGATTGGGGACATCGAAAAGGGATTCGGTGCAAGAGGAGATCGTCGCTATTGGTCTCTAGAGAGGTATGCGAGCTGTTGAGACGGCACAAGATAGGACATCCGCTATGTAATGGTCCAAGAGATCTCTGTATCTCCATCCATGTACGATGTCTATCATTCAGTAGTACCATTAGCAATACCATCACGTCTACCCCCACCACCTCTACTCCTTATCCACAGCAAAAGCCTTCAGATCATCCATCGCCACACCCTTCAGCGCCTTCTCATTCGTCGCCTTGAGCACAACCTTCGGCACCTTCTTATCGTCCATGCCCGTCCTCGCATCAAACGCCTCCTTCCACCTGCTCACACAAAGACACCACTTGCAGCCATCCGTCAGCCCCACTTGGCGCAAATCGTTGCCTCGCGCGGCGGAGAAGTCGAGGAACTCTTTCGACACAACACCTGCGATGGCGTGGTTGCCGGCGTCCGAGGCGGGCACTTCGCAGTAGCCTGAGCGCGTGAAGCCGGTTAGGGGCTGTGTCGAGTGCAGCGCGAGGGGTTGCTTGAAGACTGTGGTGGGAGCCGTGTGGGCTGGTGATGGGTGTCCTTGTAGTGTCGTAGCTAGCATGGCCATGCGTTCATGAGCGAATTGCAAACACCCGCCGTAGCGCATGAGCGACATTGGGACGACGAAACGCGTGCCTGGAGATCTCGAGTCTGCGTCGAAACCGTTTCATGCAAATGAACAGGATCGGGATGTCGCGTAACCGTTTGCGTGGATCCCGAACGTTGAGACGACCAATGCGGAGTCTCGATGTCTTTTCTCCCTACTCTACTGAATCATGTGATCTTACGTACCGTTAAGGACATACTGCCAGCTTCTTCTTTTGCTTTTGCCCGTGATTCTGCGCCGGCGTTCTTTCCCACTTAATCTGCACGTCGTGAACGTGAGCGTATTTGCGTTTCGGAGCTGAACGTGCTGAACGTGCAAAGTTGGAGAGGAGATTGCGTAGTAAGCGCATGAGTGAAGATGGCAGGAACACGCGCGGTTATTAACGTGCACACAATGGTTGACGGCTTGACGGGTGGTGGCTCAAGATGGCGTCAAGAGAGCGTTAGAGCGGAGGTTTAGCGCGTAGGGCTGAATGGATGACGTTTGGCAGGGGGTAGCTGCCGCAGATCTCGAGAGCTGCGCGATCGGCTGTTGCACCATCGTGGGCCGCGGCTGGGATCTGGGCGTTGGGCGTCTTTGCCGGGGGAGCGGGGGCCTGGGAGGGGCGATCGGCGGCGCAACGATCTAGATTGTGATGCCATTGCAGGTGTTGATGGGCGCGCATTTGATCTGTCGTCCCTGATCTTGGTACTCAAGGTCTGACGTGCTGGATATGGTACTCAATGCAGGCTAGGGCCACAGATGTGTTTACCCAGTGTGTGGCGTTAGCGGACTTCGGGCTGTACAGTATACACAAGCACCAGCAAGTGATCGGCATGTCTAGACAGAGTTCAAATGGAGGTTTATTCATGTTGAGAACAGGTCTCGCTTCATCTGGGATAGCATGTGTTTGGATGACCGAAACAGAGCAACTGCACCGTGCAATTGTTCGTAAATGACCCTTTTCTGTAATTGACAGCATTAAGATATCATCGGCAGTCGTGGATGGTCGAGAAGCGATCATGGCGAGACGATTTATTGATGGATAAGGAAAGTAGAAAGTATACACAAAACACCGTATCCCAATGCTCCTTGACACCGGCTTTGCCCATTACAAACGCCGCCAGTTAGAAAGATCCAAACACACCTTTTTTGGGTATGCAATTCTCCTGCCATTCCTCGTGGAAGAATCGGTAGGCCGTGGGTTATATATTGCCGGTTGTTAATGTTAGTAAGTCATGTGCGCACTACGGCAGCGTCGTGAATGACGGAGAGTTCGTGCTCATCGGTGCACGGCACCGCCTTGATCTCCCTCTTCATTTCTCGAGCTTCTTGTGCATCTTCAGGAGGTCGTTCCTCTGTGCCTCGGTCGGGGGCTCTCCGCCTCGGTCAACTGCCAGTACAGCTCCTCGTACCTCTTGTAGTACTTCTTGGAACTTCTGCGAGAGCTCGACAGTCTGTCGGAAGCTCAAGTTGGGCATGGAGGGTGAGGTGGTTGATGTGGACGAGGCGCCTGGGGATGCGCGTGGGTTGTTGTGGTGATAGCGCGAGGCGAGGCCGGTGTCGATGTTGGCGACCTTGCGGACCTTGGGCGCGGTGGTGGGTGTGTTGGAGGAAGAAGAGTCGTCCGACTTCCGCTTCAGGGAGCTAGTACTAGAAGGCGTAGAGCCGTTGGCCTTGCGTTGGTGTGTGAGGGGGTGTGAGTAGGAGTTGCGCGGTCGACACTTCGGCTTCTTCACAGCCAAGTTATGGTTGTGAATGTCGCTGTCGATGTCGTTCGCCTTGCGCTTGAGCGAACGGTCAGAGTTAGCACCGGACTTGGCGGGCGATGGAGCTGCGGCAAGTGCCTTGTGGACTGGGTGCGAGTCCTCGAAGTCGCTGCGTTGACAGGCGGCGAGGCGGACAGAGGCGAGGGATTCTTCGGCTTGGTGTTGATGGGCATGGTGGGCTTGAAAGGCCGGTTGGCGGGGCGGTCTCTCTGGGAATCACGGCCAGCCATCTGGGTTTGGCGCGTGGGTTGGTGGTGCCTTCTGAAGCAGGTGCTTTCTTGCTGCGGATTTTCGAGGCGTCGGTAGCAGGTGTGTTGGATTTGGCAGGTGCGACGGGGGCGCGGAGTAGAGCTTGAAGGCGTCGAAGAGGCTGGGGCTGTTGCTATTGTGGGCTCCTCCTTCACCTCTTTCACCCTCACTTCCTTCGCGGCCGCGGCTGCCTTCTCACGGGCCAAGTACTTCTCCTTCATGGACGACTTGGGCTTGATCTCTACTTCCTTTGCGGCCTTGGGCTTCTTCTCAACTGCAGGCTTGTCGGCAGCCTTCTTCGTGGCCGTCTTCTTCTTGGTGAGATCAGATATCTTGTGCATTGGGGTGCTCGCTTGGGCTTAGCCTCCGGCGCCTTCACCGTCGAACGCGACAAGCATATGCCTTGGCCTCTCTGGTCACGGGGCAGCAGGATCTGCCAGAGCTTGTCGTCTTTTGCCAGCCGCTGGCGGTCGAACGACTTGATGGCGCCATCAATGGCTTGCTGCCGGTCCTCTGCGCTCTGGTAGGGGAACTTGAACGGATTCACCTCACGGAACGACTTGTCTGTCAGCTGCCACTTGTCGGCGTCGGCAGTGGAGCGCTTGGCTATCTTGGGCAGGACATCTCGTATGTTGGCCAGCGATGTCCTGCAGGTGGCGGCGAGAGAGGCCTCGGTGGCTGGCTCCCGCGCAAGGAGGTGGATGATGGGGACTCGCAGCGCGCTGACTATCACGTCATGGCTGTTGCTCGGTTGCGAAGTAGGAGCCCGTTTGGTGCATGGGCGACGACGACGCGCTGAGCGATGGCGAGCCCAGCATGGAAGGAGCGAGGTGCGATGCCTTGAAGCCCGTCGACGGGAAGCGACGATGGGCTGGCGTGCGCCCGGGAGCAGCATCGCCGACGATGGTCCTGCAGCAATCTTTGTCAGTCCTGGTGTACACAACTTCGTCTCATCATGGCAATCATCCGCGACAGGGGTGCTCGAGTCTCTCGACTTGATGCCAGAGATCGTGGGCAGCCATGGGATACCGGGGAGGCATACTTGTTGGCTTCCTTGAACTCTGATATCGCAGCCATGTTACTCCTAAGCTGCTCCAGCGCCGAGTCTACGCCTGCCGTCACGTCCTCCGCCTTGTGTACCATCAGACTGTGGTTGATCATGCCCGCGAACTCAAGGCTGCCCGGGCTGCCAGTCCCGCTGGACTTGTACAATTCGTATCGATGGAGCTCGCTGCTGCTCTGCAGCATGTGCGTCTTGTCGCCATACTTGAGTTGCTGTTTTTGTGGTTAGCCCAGCTCGTGCCAGCCCCCATTCCGGGTCGAACCACCCGGGAACACCTAGGTAGGAACATAACACCAAGCGTGCACACATACAGGAGTCCGCCCGAAGATTATCTGCGGTGATTTTCCGCTCCTAACACTGGCCAGGAGCTCGTCGACAATGTCCTGGGTAATGTCCACCTGCATGGCCTGCACAGGCGGTCGTCTGTCGTCCTTAAGTCCGGCGTCGCTATCCGGAGCTCCGACAAGGGCTATGCCGCCTAAGGGGAGCAGCGAGGTCGCCATGTTGGTAGTGTTGGCGTCTATGGTATCAAAGAGGCGGAACGAGGTGTGAAGCTCGCACCCGGATGTTGCTAGGAGAGGCAATGCATGGAGAGAGCACCCAGGCACTGAGCGAAGAGCAAGCAGTGCAGTCGGGTCCGAGGCAGAGACCCGTCACAGACGTCCTCTGGCGTTTGAGTGAGGCGTTGGTAGGCTCGAGGAGGACGGAGGAACGAACAAAGGACGCTGCTCGGAGGACCGTCAGACAGGTCAGACAGTCACTGTCATAGCGCGCCCCGGAATCCAGCGAGCAAGCGTGCACGGATATCAAGGTACGATGCTGAAACGATTGGTTGTCACGCACAGGATCAACGGCTGGGAGAACCAGACAATGTTGCTATGACGATGCAGTGTATTCACACGCAAAAGTGAAGGGTAATGAGCTGGACGGAGGCCGAGCGAGTTGCGGTGTTGGGCCAGCACACATGCCTGAGAAGGCGGTGGTGCCGACAAGGGCGGTCGAGGCATAGCACGATTACGCTTCAGGGTGCCAAATCCAGCGGCGGCCCGCTTGCAAGGTACCTCGTGCTACCTCAATCTGTGGCCGCTGCAAGGCATTGCCATACACGCCCACTGGTCCCATTATGTTTTATTAAAACAGCCATGCTTGCCACGGTACGATCCGATCATCGCAGTATCTGAAAAGCGCAAAGCGACAGCTTTTGACTCGAGACTCGATCTCCAGTTGCTGCGCCATATTCCAACACGCTGACCAGAGCTGCACGGTGTGCTGAGTCTGGCAAGCCTGGGCGGGTCCACCATCACTCGTGGCAGAACTGCGGGCAGCAAATGGCCTGCGTTTAAAAACGACGGGCGCGGAATTTGGGAGCCGGGTGCGCCAGGCAGGGTCGGGTATGTGCTGTACCTGTTTCGAATCCAAGCTGCCCTGTCCGTGTTTGAGACCACAGCAAGGCCATGCTTCACGTTGGCCTGCAGTTGCCTCTCCGATATTGTCAGTGAGGCTTTCTCCATCCACCAGGGCGCATCGTCTGATCAGAAAGATTCCTCACGGGCTGAGGCTTTCGGTTGGGGACATCGCGTCACCCCGCGCTGTCATCCGGCGCGGCGGGTTCGGTGCTGGTTAGATCAGCTTCATCGGGAGGCGCCATGACAGGGTCATCCAAGCCCGACCTATTTTGGTGCCTGCGGAACCCTCCACCGAGAGTGGGGAGCTTGCTTCCTCGAACGACTCACTCATGGGAGCTACGGTCGAACTCTGCAAATACCAGCGGCTCTCCAAGCTTTCGTCAGTGTCTCGAAACGATTTCATAATCGATCGCTGATTTTGTTGCGCTTCAAGGTTTTCATGCGAGTCATGCCATTCTCTCCAACCCCCCACCTCTAGCAGTCAGCCACATTCATCGACTACGACGAACCATTTGACCAGGCGTACGTCGGTAGGCAGGGCTGCTTCTATGATTCGCAGAATATCATCGGCTGCAGCGTCAGGCGGTATGGTGGAGACTAAACCAGAGACTAGAAGGCCATCCGCGTCGGAACCTCGCGTCCGGTTCGACGGCCAGCAACAATAACCGAATGCGTGAACGAACATGTTACTCAACATGTGCATGCGTAACGACGGCTGCAGGCAGACGAGCAGCGTGTGTTCGTGGTTGCTTCTGACCTTCCCGAGCACCTGCAGCGAGACCAACGCTGACCTGCATATACAGTCCGTATCGCTCGCCAGTGTTGCCCACCCAGTCCACCTAACAAACATTGTCAGCAAGCCGTGCGAACAGCTGATGTCAAAGATTAACATCAATCAGCCGTCACTCCCGACCTCATCGGGTCTGCAAAGCGTCTTTCAATTTGGAGACCTTCCGTGTTCTGGAAGGCATCCGAGGTATAATATCTGCACCCCTGACCCCGTCTTTTGGCGATATTGCAATGCGAGGCCATGGCGGGGTACGTAGATGAGGTACCACAAGCTGCCGTCACAAGATCATTAAATCTCCATGGGAAGTGAGCACAACGATGTCAGTGCTATTACTTTTCGATGGGTTCGCCCCTCGTTCGTGCAACGTTGTGTAGAAAAGCAATGCACTGCAAACTTCAGATCGAGATTGCGCATCGGAAACCGACCCTTCCAAGGAACTTGCCTCGCCTTTGTCCAGCGACTTTCTAGGTCTACAGATGGCTACTCCGGCAACTGGGGTGATAGAGTATTCGCCTTCCGCTTAATTCGTGCTACCCGATCAAACCGAGCGCCTTTATTCATGATTGGATTCTATGCTTGACGAATGAGGCTGATACCCACTCCGCATGAGGACTTTGCTTTTCTCCGCGATTCTGCGGTACTCGAAGCCGCACATCAGTACACAACGTTGATCTAGAACTACCCCTATACTATGCAAATGTCATTAACATTGGAAAGCAAGTCCGAGCAAAAACACTCTTCACGAACGCTACGTCAGCACCGTTACGGATGACCCTCCTGCTACATCACAACAGGTCCGCATCATTTCCTAGCTACGCGCGCGACGCAATACGAGGCTTCGGGAGATTGGGCGCCGGACAGAGTGGCTCCCACATGGCTGGCCACGCTTCCAATGTCCGTAATTGATTGTGGTAAACCTAGAATACTAAGTCTGCCTCAACAGCCGCTGCAGAGGTAATAGCGTCACACCCAGACCTTCCCATTGCGCATCCCCGATCCGAAGGGCTTCCCAGCCTCCCAGCCACGACACCACCACCTCAGAAACGCCGTCATGCATAACGCCCTAACCCAGACCCCATCTAATCTCCATTCAGAGGTTCATAACGCATTGCATGGGTTTGTAATTTCGACTCGTACATTGTCAATCCGCCATGTATGTCGTCATTTACTTGACGTGCGTAGTTTGAGCTTCTTGTCTAGAAAGTGTAGAAAATTTGGAAGAAGCAAAAGCGTGGATTGCGTACCCTGATCGGCGAGGCGGTGGTGATCAACTGATGTGCAGGTCGGTCAGGCCCTGGGGGGCGGCGCTGGGCGCGTGGGCGCAAGTGCAGACTCCGAAGGTGCAGCGTGACCCCGGTCTTTGATCCCGCGTCGAGCGGCAGTGGCGTGGGGCATGGCGATCGCGCTGGTGAGGCCGCCAGTGTTCAATGTTGAGCGACACCGCCATGTTTTTGCGCACACGAGCAGTAGATGGTATCTTGTGTCAGTGCTATCCTTGTGTTGAATCTATCGTTGCGGGGCTCACATGGACTTCACGTTGTCGCACATCGAGGCGATGGCTGGGTAAGTTGGTGGGATAAGCAGCCACTGATGGCATGGCACTGCAAAATCACGCAACAGATCAAGGACATCAAGAAAGGCATGTTGTGAAACATAGATTTGTCGTAGGTATTCGTAAGTCCTGAGATGGTAACGCCACAAGACATCAAAGTCAAGTTACTGCGACCATGCTTTGACACTATCCAACGCCGTCGCAATGCGAACCAATATAAAGCGCCGAATGCAACTCCATGCCGAAGCCAAAAGTCAACCCAGCATATCGATGCTGCTTATGATCTCAGGTGATGTCAAGAAATTGGCTTAGACCCAACGCCCCGCTGGAGATACGCAACAAACTGTGCCGTCAAGTAGCATGCCGGCCCGATTGTCAGACGCACCGAGCCGCGAGGCACTGTCAGACCCAAGTAGATGCGACGAAGGCGCTCAGGCGTCCAGGTCCTCGGGTGCCTTATGGCGGGCGAGGACGAGGCGCTTGTACTCGGCGGGGTCCTTGTCCCAGAGCTCTGCGGCCTGACCGTTGAGCGGGCTTGAGCTGTGTTGTTGTCAGTACATGGCTGCGCCTGCATAAAGACATGTCTTTGACTCACTTGTTCGGCTCGCCCAACAAGCTCTGCAGACTCAGCAAGACAGTGGTGATGTTGTAGATGGCGCTCCACTTGTCCTTGAGGATGTCGAGACAAATACGGCCCGAGAAGTCGACATTGGGGTGATAGATGGGGGTCTTGTAGAGGACGGTTGGCGGGCTGTAGGGGTAGTTGTTGGAAAAGTCCATGGACAGCTTGAAGACGAGGTCGGCGTAGGGAGTGTCTGCCGGGCCGTCGATGGTGGCGGTCCAGACGGTCATGTTCTCGTCATCGGGGAACGCGGTGATGCCGGGAGTGGGCTTGGTCATGATGTCCATGAGCTCCTTTTGCAGACTGGGAAAGCGTTAGTGGTAGGTCCGTAGATGATGGAGCGAGTCGGGTTGGGGAGTAGAGGGGCCTGAACATTGGATAGGAGGGACACGAACCGCGCTGCGATGTTGGCGTTTGCACCGCTCATGTTGTCTATATCGAAGTTGAAGACGAGACTTTTGGTGTAGTTGCGTTGCAAGTTTGTAGAATCTACCACGCAGTCGCGAGTTGCAGCGGGGCAATTTCTGTTCTGATCGCAGAGAGATTAGCAAAGCACCGGGACCGTCCGGTAGTGCGAAAGAGACAAAGAGGCTGGGGTGAATCCGGCTTCTTTCGTGCTGGTGTGCGAGGGGATAGGAGGGTGCGTGGGACGGCGTGGCTAATGCAGGCACGGCGTGAATTTGGTGTTGTGTTGATTTCCCTGCGTCTGCCTGGCAACGAGGGCCCCGACACGTGGACATCCCTGCACGCGTTTCCCCACTCACCGTCGATCCGCCTCGTCCAATTAGAGCGCGCGAGGTTCGCGTTCTTTGACACAACGCCTGTGTTTCAAGGCGACTCATCGTTGAGGTCAATGGTCAAAATTGCGTGTCTTTGTATCAAGAGTTTGCCAATTCGCATTGAGAGGAATTAGATTGCCCATGAAAAATGACAATGAATGCCTCCAAACGGAGCACTTCCCAAGACTGAATGCATACGTGAGAGATCATGTATCGAAATTGGTGAATGGACGAAACTCGATAAGACGTGTAGTCGTAGCAAGTATGCTGTGTCAATTACTGGAGATACGGAAACTGTTCGCTCGGCCCTTGCTGTCGCACCTGGACAGCATCAGTCCTCATCCAACCCCTTGATCGTCTGCTCCTCTACAAGCCTTCTTTCCAAGCTGCATCTCAGCACCCTCTTATTCCTACCTATCCCGTGCTCCTTCAAACAATCATCCTCTCGATCCCAGTACACAGCCCAACCATATCCACCCTTCTCCTCTTCCACAGCAACAAGACATTCCTCTCCTTCCAACGTCAGCCCCTGCTCGTCTTCTGTCCAGTCCCAAGGCCCAACTGTATGTTTCTTCGCTTCAACACGCGGTCCGTAGCGCAATTCGCGCGTCGTCTTGTTGGCAAAGAGCCAATTAAGTTTAGGCTTCGTCGGTTTCGAAGGTGCTTTGGAGGGCGTGGGAGATGGTGTAGACGGTGCGGATGAAGCGGGCGATGGAGGTGGTGAAGGTGGTACAGTACTGACGAGGCCTAGCACTGGTGCTGCAGGCATCGGACGATGCGGTAGTTCTGAAGACGGGAAGGGTAGGTAGAACCCAGTGAAGGGATGTGGTGGTGGCTCGTCGTTCGGGCCAGATGTCGGTAATCCTGTCTCTGCGTCTTTGGGCCAGAGTCGTATCTACACACGCGTTAGCCCGTCCAAAGGAAGAAGCAGATTCGTCGCATGTACCTTGCCATCTTTCAGTACTACAATCGCGCCGTCCACCTCGTCCCTCTTCCTACTCTTCGCATCACAGAATACATCTATATAGAACTCTTCTTGGCGCTCATCACTTTCCGCTTCTTCGTCCAGCAGCCGCTGTTGGTGCACCGCTTCGTTGGCGCCAATGGAGATGGGGATGCCGGCTAGCGTCAGTGCGTACATTGTGTTGTTCAAGTAGGTAGACGATTAATCAGAGTGGGTGTCGCATGGGCGACGTGATCAACGCGCGTGGGAGACATGCTGTGGGATGATGCTGTAAACAGGATGTATGGCAGCGCAAGCTGGGATGTTGAGGTGGAGTTCGGCACGATGTTGTCATAGTGGGACGGCTCGACTTCGGCTAAAGTTACCATGCCTCACCCCATTTCCCTATGCGATATTCGCTGCCAACACCAAACTTCAGACTTTGCCTACCGCTTTATATGTCGCTTGACTTACTCTCATATACTCAGTCTCGGCGACGTATCAGCCGCAAAAGGCTGTACAGCAACCGTCTACGATGGCTGCTGCCCGTGCATTTCTCCATCTAATCTTCTCAGGATTGATTGCTCCTAGATTTGCGTCGACAGAATGTCAACCTTAGAGCTTTATTTTCTCAGGTCAGCATAATCTTATTGAGCGCCCATATCGATGACATGTTTTTTAGACGCCGTTGATGCCATTGTAGGGGGCTGTGCAGAATTACATTCTCCCTCACTGCCTGCTTAGGTGACAATGGATTAACGAGAGTGGGGAATATGCCCGGTATCGTTACAATCGATTTCCCATGAGGAACATGCGGGCTCCAGGAGAGTGAGAGTAATCACATATCCAGCGTGGCTACCATGTTGCCCCGAGGACCATCCAAGGTAGAAACATCAGACCCACAATGTAGCAATCGCGAGCAGCTTCTCTTCTCGGGGTAGCTACGGCCTCATCATGCCGCGTACCTCAGATGGTAACTTCGAGCACCTCGCCACCTCCAGTTCGCAGTGCACAGCATCTGTCGTTACCACTTCCATCGCTATTCAATCCACCTCTTTATTTCGGCATGGAGACCTCCGCCATCAGATCAGCGGTGTTACAGCCTTTCAGTACAGATCAGCTGCCTGAACCAGAAAGCGATTCTCCGCTATTCCTACCCGCCGACGCGCGACGACGCTGGTACCTCGGCTACTTGGAGCACTGGAAAGACCTCCAGCACCGTACAACAAGATTCTGGGAGAGCGAAGGCGTCAAAAAAGCGTTCGATGAGCTGAAGGATCACAAACTGGACGAACCGCGAGGCATACGCGCCGCCAGCGAAGACGATGAAGGTCCAACGCAGTTCGAGAACATGTCCCGGCGTGAGGTTCTCCAAGTCGTGGAGGCAGTCTTCAGCAAATTACTCGCCACAGAGACGGGGAAGAAGGTAGAGGGAGACAACCCAATAGAACACATCTTCACTTCGCGAGGCCGATGCCAACCGCACAGCTAAACCAAGATTCTGGATTGACGCGAAGCCTGGAGGTCATGTGTAATGTGAAACTAGAGAAATGTTGATTTAGCGATCTTACACATTCATCATGCGAAGCGAAGCCGAGTCTTTTTCTTGCCAATGTCTAGACCTATCTATCCGCCAACTGCAACTTCTGTGGCTTATGTCGATGTGTACGGCGTTCCTTGGCCGTTGGATCTGACGGCGCGTTGCCTCGGAACTTGTTCGGTTCCAAGCCAGCTCATTGGTAGAATCGTGCGCTTCCAATATCGATGGTGTAAATGCGGTTCTTGGATTTTTTTATGTTTAGGTGCCTCACGAGAAGTGTTGAGATGCCACGCGGGAACATCGTAAATGCCTCGGTTCTTTTCATGCATGCGCCGCGATTGGTGACAGTATACGAGTTACCTAGGTCTGGTGGTGTTGAGGACTTATGAGCCACACAACATTGTGTTCGCGGCACGCCTGATGGATGCATCTGCGAAGCTGAGATCTTAGTGTCGTTGGCTTGCGAAGTCAGATCCATGATAGCCTCGGTCATTTGAGTAGGAACCTAATGCTGATTGGATAATTTATTGGGAAGCCAGAGTCTTGGGAAGGTTACCGATTAGGCTCCCAAGCACCGGGTTACTATGCAACGATCGCCATGTTCCGAGCTCCTGGTTATGGGTGCATGAGATATGGTTTCCATTGAATGGTGAAATAGACATTGCAAGGAAGACATATATGTTGTAGATACAAGAGAAGCATATTCCTCAGGTACGTTGCGTATATTCTCAACTGGTATCCATGATTGGGGCTCGTAACTCTAATCGGCATTCGGGTCAAACACTCGGGAAGCAACATCCCCTTACTTACAAGAGAGTGGCAATGGTGAAATTATCTCGTGCAGAGCGTAGATGTCAAGTGGTGTGATCATGCCACGTTTGTTATGGTGCGCACCCGTGGACACATGCACAGCATCCCTTGTTGTTGAGTCTAGCGACGGATAGTGAAGGAGTCATAGGCGAGGCGCTTGTGATGATGGCAGGTTCGGGACAAGATTGGTGGATTCTACTGGTCTAGACTAGAGGCACTGTCAATAAGCGAGTCGATGTGCTGAAGGTTACGCTTTCGGTTGTGTGGTATTCCATGCGGCGTCATTTTCTCGCCAAAGCCCCACACATTCGCGGCTGCTGTACCGAATTTCGATGTGTCTCTTTAGATATTAGAGCAGTTCTGCTGAGCTGATACAATGCTAGACTCCTGGATTTGCGCCGCAGTCCAAGTCGCTGGCTACCCGGGTCTCGCGCGGAGGTAGGCGTGCCGCAAGCGTCTGCAAGGAAATCTTCCTCAGCGTCAAGCATCGCGAGAATGATCAGAATGACGCCGACAAGAGCCTGCCAAGGCGCCGGAGGCTTGGAACGGGATATCAGTGCCAATGCCCTAAGCTTCAATGCGGCTTGAAACCACACGCGCCGCAAAGCAGGTCGGAGCAGTCCCCCACCTGGGACAAGTCTGAAAGGTGAAATGTGTCCATGTGGAGTTCCTCCAGCGTCAGGAACGTGCCCGGTTACCCCGCGCGTGTCGTGGAAACGTGGCGACGCCGATCGCTTGACAGATGGGTCGCACAACGTGAGGTCGAACAAAGAAAAGCACGCCAGTCGGGCCTTGCCGAATCTTCAGCTCTCGTTCCTCGAAGTAGCTTCGCCATGGCGGACGATAAGAACAGGCGGCCGGCTCACGAGAAGGCTTCACTCGTAGGTCATTCGGCGTGTTAGTGGATCCGGAAGCCACGGCGGGTTTCGCTAGCATGCGGGGTCTCCACACGCCAAGCCTCTCCCCAGCTTTCATCGCCCTCGCTTTTTCGCTCCTTCCCGCGGGTGGCCTGCTTTGCTGCTGATGGCATCGTGCTGTACTCGAAGAGTATCCACACGCTGGACGAATGAGTGGTGAAACCCCGAGCCTCGGTACTTTGCCTGCGGGATGCGTTCCCAACACGCCCACTTCACTTGGCAGCGGGCAGGCGGGGAGGCAAACGGCAGGTGCTTTTTGACATATAACGCGTCTATCGTGTGCGCCTACCATGCTCCTACCCGGACTACCCACCTTCACCTCCTACTGCCCTCGAGGTCGACGTCTACCCTACGCGCCCCAACATGGCTCACCAAGTGGCTGTCATGCGTGACGACGACGCGTTCGAGAAGAGACCCGTCTCTCTTAGGGAGAATGTCGACGGCTCCCAGGACGGCTCCGGGTACGAGTGCGAGTTCAGCGAGCGCGAGCAGAAGAAGATCATTCATCGCATCGACCGACGCCTCGTTGTGACCGTGGGAGTGCTCTATTGCATCAGTCTGATGGACCGCACCAACCTCAGTGCCGCTGCCATTGCAGGGTTCGTGAACGACACGTGCGGAACTGCGCGTTACCAGGACTAACAGCAACTAGTATGACCGTTGACCTTAAGCTCTTCCTCCTAGAGGGCTCGATTTCTCACTACTCCATCGTCACCATCGTATTTTTCGCCTCCTACATCATCTTTCAACCCCCCGCAACAGTCATCTGCCGTTATCTTGGACCTCGCAATTTCCTATCGGTTATCGTTGTGCTGTGGGGCGGTGTCATGATTGGCATGGGCTTTGCTGATAGTTACGGTACCCTGTCCGCGCTACGAGTCATCCTGGGAGTCCTAGAAGCTGGCTTTTTCCCGAGCTGTGTCTACTTGCTGTCCACCTGGTGTAAGCACATGCCGGCTCTTGGATCGTCACAATTTGCTAAGACCCCTCTCAGATACCCGATTCGATATCGGAAAGCGATACTCATGCTTCTACATCCTTGGAAGTTTGGCATCTGCCTGCGCCGGTATTCTTGCTTACGGCTTGATGCAACTGAAGGGACAGCAGGGTCTGAACGGTTGGCGCTGTAAGTCATCGGCCGGATACGCCTTGCAATGAGACTATGCTGACGTTACACTTTCGAATTAGGGATCTTCATCATTGAAGGCGCGCTCACCTGCTTCCTTGGTATCGTCGGTTACTGGGCTCTGGTAGATTTCCCTGACAAGGCCCACAAGTCCTGGAACTTCTTGACTGAGCGTGAGGCCATGTTCATCATCGACCGTGTCAACAAGGACCGTGGTGATGCCAAGCCAGAGCCATGGTCCATGGCCAAGTTTTTCAAGGGTGGCGCTGACATCAAGATCTGGGGTTTCGCGATGGTAAGCCCCAAGATGACCTTTAATCTCCCATTCGCTGACGGGTATAGATCTTCTTCAACACCACGACGGTCACATACGCCCTGGCGTACTTCCTGCCCATCATCCTAACAGGAAACATGGGTTTCAGCACTGGCGCGGCCCAGTGCCTGGTTGCTCCTCCCTACGCTTTCGCCGCCATCGTCATGTACACCACCGGCTGGCTTGGAGACAAATATCACCTTCGCGGACCCATCATCCTGTTCAACATGGTTCTCTGCCTCGTCGGCCTGCCCATCATGGGTTTCCATGCCAACTCGAACGTTAGATACTTTGGCGTTTTCTTGACCACCGCTGGCGCAAACAGCAATATTCCTGCGACAATGTCATACCAGGCCAACAACATCAGAGGCCAGTGGAAGCGCGCGTTCTGTTCTGCCGTCTTGGTTGGTATGGGTGGCGTTGGTGGTATCGCTGGAGGTCTCGTTTTCAGGTATGTACCTGCAAGTTACACTCTATCGACCGTGCCATTCTAATGTCGTGTAGGGAACAAGACAAGCCCGGGTACGAGCCAGGACTGTATGCCTGCATCGCATGCTGTCTGCTCACGATCGTCATCGTAATTCTCATAACATTGAGATCGTGGAGCTTGAACAAGCGTGCGGACCGTGGCGAGCTCGAACTAGAGTACAACGATGTATGTTTCCAATCTCCTACTCATATGGCAATACATTAACGTGCGCACAGGACGGCGACCAGAAGGGCTTCAGGTATACTTACTAGAGTTACACTGAGAAGGCGATCAAAGCAATGATGATTCTAAATGAACTTGTGATACCATACCTCACGATCGAGTCCACAGAAATTCGTCTCCGGCTTCGGACAGCGTCCCGATATTAATGAACTCAAGCGACCTATTGATTGATCTTGATAGGCGTGTCTCGAGCGTACATTTGTGCAACGTGATAGTGATAGAGTATTGGGTTTGGGTAGCTGCATACAGCGTGGGCGTGCGCAATCTGGCTCCTGTTATATGGTATCTGGACAGCCTCGGGATGAGTAATCTTCTTCTTGGTGTTGTTCCACTCAAGTATGCATCGCCCGCTTTTAGTGACGCGACGTTACGCGCTGCCGAAACTAATGTCATAAAGCGTTGGATGGCGAAATGTGCGAACACGCTTCTTATCTGGGTATGTTGATGGCACAATTTTCGCGTCTTGGCACGTGCGCGCCTGTCAGATCTCAATTTGGATTCCAGGGTCTTACTGGACGCTGGACACGTCGGAAGGCTACGGCTTGCATTCCAATGAAGCATATGCGTAGTCACATATGCCTGAATATCTGGTTGCTAGGATGCCGCTATCAGCCCAAACACCGGCCAATGCTCGTTTCGCTCCCGATAATCGTCTCCACCTATTTGGGACAGGTCACAGTCTTCCAGAGTCCTCCTTCGAGCTGTATAAAGCATTCACTATTGCCGCCACTGATATCACCGCTCACAAACACTTTGCGCACATTTAGCAGAGGTAAGAAGATCTCATGGAGGGCGAAACGGACCTACCAAAACAACAGCGTACGCAGCAGTGGCAGCGAAGACTTCTGCTCGTCCTGCGTTCGTGCAAAGCCTCACACTTCAGTGCAAACATCAATGTGTATACGGCTATGAGCTCTAGCTTTGCGTTTGGGTTGCTCATGATCGCGCCGATCAGCAAGACTGCAGCAAGCGCCATGCTTATGGCAGCCACAACCTGTGCTACAAGTGTGTCATTGTATACGTTTGACCTATCGAGTTCCTCGCTTGGCGAATGTTTGGTGAAGAGCCAGTGGTTTCTCAGCGAACGAGACAGGTAATCTTGATTTGAAGGCTTCTGAGGAGCAACGAGGTCTTTTGTGTCTTCCAGAAACTTGCTTGCGCGACCAAATATCAGCTTCCTCGAGGAGATAGGCATATTCTCGATTGCGGATTTGTTAAGGTAGTCAGTGTAGGTAGTCAAGATTCGTTGGCTGGGTTTACCGAGTTGGGCGACTCAAGCGCGCAAGATAAGGGCTTCGTCGGACCCACGTGTCAGCATGCAGCGCTGGATATGACGAAGAGACCAACAGTATTCTTTGAGAGCTCTTTGCAAATCTTTGAGTGTGACTTCCAGCTGCAGCTCGAGGCTGTTCAGACTGGGCGTCACCCTTTCACACAGGACCTACCACCGCTGAAGCGGCTAGCGGGTGTCCAGATAGGCGGAATGCCTGATCTTAGATTCCAGAACTTCGATCTCGTCTTCGAGTGTCATCATCCGACATTGCAGCGACAATATACCGCGCGCTGCAAGTACCCCGAATTTGTGAAACAAGCGGCTTATCGTTAGGATCTCGAGCGATCCATTTGGACAGCGACGGATGGCCATTTCTGACGTCTGCGAGCTCGATAACAAAAGGCGAAGTACTTGGGGCCATCAATTTTGAGGGTGTGCCAGAGCGTTCACCGGACTGATCCGATATCATGTGCTATACCCAGTTAATGATGTATAGTTCGCAAAGCGATCAACTAGCAAAGTGGAGTAAACTGGCCAGACGAAGCGATCATTATCAACACGCAAGTAATTCGACAAATATGTCGAGAAGCAAGTTAACGCTCGGCTGAGCTCAACCCATCCAGTTATGGTGCCGATCACACAAACGTGGCGAAGTTCATGCACCTTGACTGCCCAGCTGCGGTCAATTTTGAGCGGCGATTGAGGCCGCCCCTCCACATATATCCTTTGTGTCCTCATCTCTACGCGTCCAACGGCATACGAACCTGGCTACGATCAAATTCGCAGTTGAACCACCTGATCGCAATTCAATCACCCACCGAAACATCTCAAAGCTTTTACTATCATCCCAACCAAAACCACAATCTCAAACCAGGGTGATACAAGACCGAACAATGCTTTGAGCTAAATTACCCCCAATTCACTGAGAGTCTTCGCGTGCGTGATGCCTTCCCGCACTCGGAAGCTTCGATGGTAGCTAACCACGTTCAGATGAAGTACCAAAAACGGCACCATGAGTCTCAACATCTCCCGTCACAAGGGCGACTTCCTGATCAACATGGATTCTTCCGAAAATGAAAAATTTTGCGAAATGACACGTTGTAGCTGCGAAGACGACCTGATCGATGCCCTGCCCCTTCGAGACCGACGTGCCGCCCGCGAGGTGGAGAAGAGACGGCGTGCACAATGGGACGGGGAACAGGCTTTGGGACAGGCTAGTCTGAAGATGACGCTGTTAATTCGGTAGCAGAGATGCATCACTAGGTATTCATCTATCTAGGGCATAATTACGCCCTTGGTACCAGAAGAACGGAGTTTCGGGCCTGGGAGACTCTTGATCAACGGGAAAGACAAAGTCAGAGTGGGAGCCTTTGGGGAAATATACAGGAATGGGCGACGGTGTCGTACACAAAGCATGTTCTGCGGCTTGTAATCTATTATTATGATACACGCTAAAGGAAATGAAGTGGTATCCAGCGAAAGATCAAATTGTCCAAATGTGTGACAACGCCCGCCCAATGCTGACGGCATAGCAAAAGGCTGGAAATGCGACGCCTTCATCAACCAAACTCCGTCCGTCGCTATGCAAACGCTCTAATGAAAAGTGAAAAGAAAACACATGTAGAAGAATGAACCTCCCTTATCAGAGATGGCCTGCTAATCAACAAATTCCTTGGCCTGATACTCGTGTTAACGACGACCAGTCGCTAGTACGACTTGTATTTCTGCACGAATGTTAGTTCTGTCCACATCACTAGTAGAGTGGCACCACTTACGTCTTCAATCTTACGCCTCGATCCGGAATCAAGCGCGTTGCCTACGCCTAGCAACGTGTTACTCACCGCTTTCGTGGCACCGAGTGCAGGTCGCAAGATGACAGTCGGTCCATGTCGACGCAAGGCCCTTGCAACACCCGTACCGCTACCCTCTTCCATAACCTCTGCAGGAATTGCGATTACCGCGTCCCGTGCAGTGAGCCAGTCGCGTTCGAAGTGTCGGGCCGCGCTGCGAAGACCAGCGCCCACACCAATAGGCTGATTGGCGTAGTTCGATACGGCGCGTGGCTCTTCTGTATCGGAACTAGGGTCTTCCCCATCCCAATCAGAAGATTGATGGCGGCTAGATGAGGCAGTCTCTGGGTTGAAGAATACCTCAGCGCCTTCCAGGAAGGTTTGCGCGCCGATCGCCACCTTCGCACCCAGACGTGCTGCCTCTGACGTTGTGTTTATAGCGAATGCGTATACACCCTTCTGCAGACTGCGCACGATCCGACCATCTTTCTTATACTCGCGTATGGGCACAACGACGAGGTCTTTGAGGCCGGAACCGACATTCACAAGAGGTCGCACGGCTGCCAGACCCGATAGTACGCCCGGTAACTGATTATCCTTGACATCCGGTGTCCAAACGTCATTGAGAGTCTTGTTAAGTTTGTCGAACGATGTGATTCCGTACACGATTGCATGGCGTAAGGTGATGTCCGAGCCGTCGAGGACGAGAAAGTTCATGAACTCCGTTGTGTGGCCGGACCGGAGGCCGCGATAGTCCACGCGCTTTGGCTTGTAGTCCAGCTTCAGCTTGACCGCCATCACTTCCAATCGCTGAATGAAAGGTTGGTCACCAGCCGGGCTGCTAGCGGGCGCGGAATCATCTTTGAACTCAAAGAAACGCGTGATAAAGTCCAAAGCGTCTTGGTCGACATGCAAGCGGAGCGGAAGGATAGTCACCTGATGATCAAATTAGCAAGAGCTGGGATGTTCATCATGCATCAAGACTCACTTTAATGACGAGCTCTGAAGCCGCTAGATCAGTGATCGGCTTAACTGTGTTGAGTTCAAGATTTATCATTGGACGAATGAGCTCTCTCTTCGCCGGATCGATTGCGCACGTGACAAATTTCCTCCAGGTAGAGCTGGGAATGTGATCGAAAACCTCTAGATCTCGTACGCGGACATTCACAGAATTGACTGTCTCGCCTGTATCCGGTGGAAAGACGACAAGGTCGACTGCGACCCCGCTGAGGGAGAATGCAATCTTCTTGTGTTTACTACGCTCGAGCTTGAGACGACGCCTGGATTTGGTAGTACTTCGAGGCCGTAAAGTAGCTCCAGTCGAGCGTGTCGCCGTCGACGTCGCGTAACTGCCCGTCTCGCTGGCAAGATCGTCAATATCATGGTTGATACGTCGAGCTAGGGCTCCTTTCTCGTCCTTCACAGGCACACCAATCCAAACGGAGTTGAAAAGGAAGTCTTGCTCAACGAAGTCATCGTCATCTTCCTCTTCTCGTCCCTTATGCCGTCGCTCTTCGGCGCGAGCCTCAACGTCATCCACGGCTTGGCTGATAACACTCCGTGTTCGAGGCCAGTCATAGCCGTCGTATAAGTTCCAGATGATGTTGACGTCGCGAACGCGTACCTTTAGTGGGGCGTCTGCAACCTTGAACTCATTGGATGGATGATATTGGTTCTTGGCAGAATCCCATTTACGAGCTTTACCCTTAGGTTCGATTTTTGACTCTCCGAAGTATTCGTCGTCGAAATCAAAGTCTTCTTCTCCTTGAGTGACTTCATGCTTCTCCTGGAAGCTCTCTAGGAGAGCTCGATCACCACGTTGGCGAGTTATAGGCGGTGTAGCCAAAGCGCTGAGATCTTCTTCACCCAGTAGGCTGTCGCCCAGTTCCTCATCAGTCGGTAAGGATTGTGAATTGTAGAGTCCCCCAACGAAAGCAAGATTCGTCGGCAGATCATCCTCAATCAAGTCAGCATTGCTCATGAAGTCATCGGTTTCGGCTTCTTCGTCTTGCCCCAGTTCATCGCCAGTGAACGACTCCATCATTTGCTGTAGTGGTACGATAGTACGATATTGTTCTGCGGTCGAGGGTGGCGTTGGGGGCTGTAGACCGCTCAGAATTGTGATGAGCGTCTGTGTAGAATCTGCGCAAGACTCAATAACAAACAGCTCATTCTTGAACTCCACGTCCACTAGCTGTGGGTGTTCCTGTCCATCACCTCCAATCTTAACAAATATCTTTGCGGCCGAAATCGAACTTAGAGACACATAGCCCAAGTTCTTCAGTCCAGATAAGTGGCCATTGGTAGTGGGTACAGTCGAGACAGGCCCGTGGTCTTCTTCTAGGCGTGCTATGTCATCTATAGCATGCATTGAAGCCTTGCGCAGGTCGACCGTGACAGAGTAGTCGTTCTTTGCTTGCTTACCCGCAACGTGCGCTTCCGTGAGGACAAAGAGACCCTTCGAGAGTGACTTCCGAGGATTGAGACCGATTGCGCAATCCCTCAGCAGAAGATCGACCTGAAGCGGCTGAGAGACGGCTGTAACTGGCGAACTCGCTTGGGAAGATTGTCGACTGACAGTCTTAGGAGAAGATGCGCCTGTGACAGTTGCGACGCTCGACGCTAGGCCTAGAGCCAGATCATCTACCGTGCCATCCTCAGCAATCCCCAGTGCTGCCATAATTGTGCTGACTCGGTATTCAATGCATAGGTTGAATAACTTGACTTTCACCATGGGTTCCATCTCATCGCCCACCATCCTCAGCATGATGACGGGTAGTTGTTCCGACGAGCGTAGTTTCACAACTTCTTGGACCAATACTTCGTCGTTGCGCCGAACAGTCGCTTTGCCAACTTCAACAGCCAGCAAAGCAGGAACTCCGACGTGTGCTAATGCAGATTCCTGCAAAATGACTGAGACATCTCCAAGTTTATCATTCACAGTGACGCGGGCATCCAGCCGTTTCACCGATGCGAGACTTAGAAGGCCGGGACGATCGTCATCTGGCAAGTATTTGGTGACCTTCGACAATCGAGCCAGCTCTATCCCAAGAGTCTCAAAGGCTTTCATGTGTTCAAGATCTGAGACATGAACACCAATTTCAGCAATTTCAGCTCGGAGAACGGAACCTTTCTTCCGCTGACGTAGCAGGGTTTCGATGAGAATGTCGTCGTTGTTCTCGTATGGGTTCTTTGATGGCGTGATCAAGGATATTAGCCTAGTCAGATCCTTTTCCTCGGGAGCAAAGAGAAAATTGATTTCAGTGCCTTTCAGTTCTCCAAGGAAAGGTGCAGTCTTTGGGACGACCTCGGTGTAGGGGCCAGTCAGCTGTGTCTCGGATACTTTGAGGCGCACATTGCTTTGCCGTACAGCAATGCGTACCGTTGTCGTGTGAAGCTGCATAGAGCATGTTTTCCCCCTGAGGGTCAAAGATACCTCACCGAGTTGTACGTCGATCTTCGGAGATTTCGTGGATGGTGGCGGTTCTTCGACCGGGAGAGGTAGGCCATCACCAAAATGTACACCGCGAGGCCGACAATGTGCTGGGGATATGGCAGGACTTGCAACCGCGCTACTAGAGTTGATGGAGTTGCTCAGCTCTAACATGCCGCTGAATCCACCAAAGGAGCCCAGCGCGTCGTCCAGTTTCTGGATGTCGAACACAACATTGAGGGGACGAGTGACGATAGTGATGCGATCGTCCTTCCCCTGCTCATAGTCCAGTTCTATATCGTGATTGGGGTGTTCCAGCGGAGCATTGACCGAGCGTCTGGATTTCGGCCGCGAGCTGTGGAAGGAAATGATGTCGTGATCCAAAGATGCTAGTTTAAATTTGCCAATATGGATTTGCATTCGCGAAGTATGGGAAGACTTCTGACAGTTGAGGTGTATCGCTGAGAGGTTGGCTCTCAATATTGCGTCCGAAGGTTGAGGTTCCAGTTGGTGCTCTGCAAAAGGCTCTTCCTGCGTAGATTCCGCCAAGACGTGGTCCAACCACGACAGAGCGATGCCCTGCACGGAAACTTCAAGACTTGTGAAAGGCGATTCCAAAGTATCCGTGGGCTCCGATTTCACCGGTCTTTCGTCTGAGGGCTGTTCCCCCGTCAGAGCTTGTATTGCCCGAGCAAACATAGCAGCCATGACGCGGCCAGTGGATATGTCCATATGACCGACTACGGAGCCGACGTCGACAATAATCGAAGCCACGCCTGTTGACGCAGGCTGCACTGATGGCCGGGACGCTTGTAAGGACTTGGGAATAGGTCTTCCGCGAGACGATGCTTCCAGTGAGGGCTTTCGACGGTGTGAAGAAGAATGTGCATAATTGGAAAACGACCCTGGCATCTCCGTAAAAATGGAATCTTCACCCAAATTGGAAGGCCCAAACGCCATACCTGCCCCATGATCGACTTGCTCGCTTGTTGCATCACTATGCTCTTTATCACCGAGGGCCATGGGAAACCACACAGTAATCTCATCTATAGTGAGAAATCGTTTGGCTTGTTTTCGAGGACCCGGCGCGACAGGCGTAGGGGTTTGTGTAAGCTCGGGTCTTGGCGGCAAGACCGAGCTCTGGCGGCTCCCCGGACGTGGAGTCTCGCATCCATCTTCTACTTCCGGCAACGGCGCTAAAATGCTACCGGAGATCATGTCCTCTGGTATCGGTTCCGACCTATCGGAGCTGGAGTCTTTACTTGAGCCTGACGAAGAGTCCCAGCCTCCGGGAACGTGCCCAGCATGAGCAGAAATGGCCTGCGTCGCACTCACTGCGCTCATGTACATACTTTCAGCCTCATCGTGCGTGAAAAACCGTGACTGAGCCATGTCTTCATCTGGTGATGGCGATGAATCAAGGTGCTGATGCGCGCTGTCGGAGAGCTCCTGAGGATCGTCCGTTGTTGACTCATGTGCCGCAGCTAAATTATCAATACTAATGTGGGGTGCCTCGACATGCTCCGATTGAGACGGTGAGTCGATCGCATTCGAGACTGGTAAGGAGCGGCCCAGAACAGACACAGTGGGTAAACCTAACATGGATGCATCACTAGCGGCTTCGGAGATATGAGTATGTCGACTTGAGCTTGCACCGTCTAGCCCCCACGTCGCCGCTTCCGATGACTGTTCCATCTCTGGCGCATCCTCAAGATGTGAATTGACCATGTTGTTCTGCATCGCGTAGTCAAGCAAGCCCTCGTCGTCATACAATACACTACTCCCGCCAAGATCAGGTAATGGGTAATGTTGTTGAGACTGGCCGAGTGAGAGCTGTGGATGTTGATCATTTACGCCATCATCGGAAGTAGCGTCTGCAAAACGATCATGGTCTATTGTTTGCAGCGATAATGCTAGCTGTGCTTGGTCCGGAGACATAGAACGTTCGGGTGACGCAGCTTTCCCGTGACAGATGGCAATTTGAACTTGTGTTGGCGAAACGATCTGGCTGGATAACGCCTCCTCATCGCTCCGCAATGTTGTCGAGCTTATCATTTCCTCTTTCATGAATTGCCTAGACTCAACAGGCTGGTCTTGAACTTGACTCGTCGCAGGATCGCTGGTGGTTGCATGGCTACTTGACGCCTGGGATCGAGACGTAGCCGGAGATGACGGCTGCGAGAACTGATATTGGGATACGAAGTTTTTGACATCAGACACTAGGCGCCCGCAGATGTTTTCCACACGCATCCTTCGCTTACCTAGCTTCGAATTGGCGGAAGGCAATGTTGCAGACCCAGCCTCAACGCAAACGTCTTTGGCAGTGGTCGAATCAATCGCTATACGCTCAACGTGAAAGCTGAGAGAAGAAGATGAGGTCTCGCTTGACTTTGACGAGTCTAGGGCATCGTTCGGGAAGTGATCCTCCACATCTATGTCGATGTTGTTGACAACTATGCTTAGACGGTCTAAGGCGGTATTCAACATATTGCGAAGATATGTTGGGAGTGTCAGAGGCGCTCCAATACCAGCAGAAGCCTCTTCGCCATCGTCACTTGATGCGACCGACTCTTGCATATACGTAGGTTGAGACTCGAGCTCATGCTGCAGCTCGCGGATTTCGTCGGCAGGCTCCGTCTTTATGAATGACTTGGCCAGCTCGTCGACGGTCGGCAGGTAGTCATCGTCATCGTCTGAACCATAGCTGTACTGGTTGTTTTGGGCAGAGGATGGCGAAGCGGCCATTGGAGGTGGCGAAGATCGCGTCTGAGTGTGCTGCTGACGAGGATTTGAAGGAGAGGTACCTTCGACATCCTCAGTCAACCGAGCTTCTACTCGTATGCCATGTACCTCTATCGATATCTGGGGGACGCCGAATTCGAGGACGAAGGTAACTCGGAGGAGCGAGGCTTGCGCTTTCAACAGCTGGGTCTCGGGAGGAAGCGTGAGGTGCAATAGTGCTAGCAGCTTCTAAAATATGGTATTAGTACTAGGTGCACCGTAATGGACGTCTCCGGGACGTACCTTGACATGCAACCCGACGTCCCGAACCTCGAGTGTGGTGCGTTTCCCGATATCGACGCTCACGAAGTCGGCAGGGTCTTTGTCAAGTATGTCGATGTGGCGCAACCCATAGAGAAGCAGTTTCCGGCCTATAGAGCTCGAGAGCGCAGAGAAGAAAGCCATGGCGGTGGAGAGGCTGGCGGCCGGGTTGGGGGACGCGTTGGTTGCAGGCTGGTCGAACGCCTATCGACGGGAGGGAAGAGGCTCCATGGATAGCAGAGCGTGCGTGTTGGTGGCGCGTATAACAGCTACGAAGCGCGAGAGGCCTTCTCCTACCTGTGAAGCGATGCACAGTGGTGCCTGCCAAGTCTTGTTGCTTCACCAGCCACGGATGTGAAGTATGAACGATCCCGGATCTAGGAAAAGCGGTACTGTAGGGGCATCAGCAACGGGATTAGTGAAGGTGTGTGTTCGCGTGGCAACAAAAGACGTGGGTGATCACAGGGCGAGGTTCCGCCGTCTAGCGTCGAGGTTGCGGTGCTATGGAGAGCAGATGATGTGTTATGCCATTGCAGGCGACCGTGCAGCTCGCCCCGCGCATGCACCAGCGCGCGCTAGGCAATCGATAAGCAAAGCCCCAACGCGTCAAGAGCGCGTGCTGTGAATGTGACAATAGTGGCATTTGCAGTGCGGCTTGAACTTCACATGCCAGGGAGTGAAAGACATCTTCCCTGTGTTCCCGCACGCCCTTGCTGGTACATGTAATACGTGCAGGCGTCCATATCTCGCCACTCTTGGCACGATTTAGACCCTGTTACGTCAGCATTCACTAGCTCCGTTCAGGAAGGAACTCGCGGAAGTCACCGATAGGGCGGCGTCTGACACTCGTGCAACAAATTGCGAACAACATTTCCTTCACCAGACGTTCGTTATCCTGAAGCGCAAACACAGTCACTATCATGACTACTAACGATGCTGCGAACGACGACGAGTGGGCGCAGGCCGAAGGCGTCCCGAACCTAAGCGACCCATTTATCCAACAGTACCTACAGGGCCGAGACGCTCTGGTTCAGCAAGAGAAGAGACAACGAAGTGGTTCGTGAACCAAAATTGTTCGCTTCTGCACATTATGTGCACTGACCTAACAGCCTCCAGACTATCTTTTCCGCCAGAATCTCTCGCCCATGGCACAAGAAGCATGCGCCATCGTCTCCCAGATTCGATTTGAGGAGCAACAGACCCTCTGGACAAAGGAATACGAAGACAGCCTACTAACCGAACATGTCGATGTCTTTCCAGGCATGATGTTCTCACTTGCCAAGGAGCGCATGGAGAAGAGCAAGCTGTGGCAGATAGTCAAGAGAATGCCCAAAGGCGCACTCTTGCACTGTCATCTGGAAGCTATGGTGGACCTTGACTGGGCGCTTGAAGAAGCTTTCAACACTGAGGGTGTCTGCATTGTTGCCGATGGCCCAGTCACCGACGACAAAACCAGGCGCAAAACCGGCTTCTCCTTCACCTACTACAAGGACGCGAACGGTGACGCTTCAATATGGAACGATAACTACACGGCGAACACGCCGGTGCCCGTAAATCAAGCCGCAGATGCCTTCCCAGATGGTGGCAAGAAAGCATTCATCGAGTGGATTCGCTCCCGCGTCACTATCACCCATTCAGAACACCTCTCCCATCACGAAGGCCCCAACGAAGTATGGCGCAAGTTCATTTCATGCTTTCCTATTCTCGGCTCCCTCATCTACTATGAGCCCATCTTCCGCAAGTTTGTACGCAGGATGTGCAAGGCCCTGGTCGACGACGGTGTACATTACGTTGACTTGCGTGCAGCGTTCTATACGCCCTACCGCAGCAGCAAGAAGGAGGATTGGGACTCGGACCATTTCAATTTGCTCGAGCATTTGGCGGATGAAGTTGAGAAGTTCAAGGCGAGTGAAGAGGGCAAAGACTTCTGGGGCGCCAGAATGATCTGGACGACCATCAGACAATTCGGAAAGAAGCAGGTGATCGAGAGTAAGTTGCGCACCACTCATACGTTTTTCAATCAATGCGTTGGAGAGACTTTTATTACCTTATTAACCGTCGGCCAGGCATGAAGCAATGTATCGAGATGAAAATCGAGTTCCCCGAGATTATTGCCGGGTACGATCTCGTAGGCCAGGAAGATCTTGGCCGACCACTTTCGGACCTTGCCCCCGAGCTTTTCTGGTTTCGCAAGGCCTGCGCTCAGGAAGGCGTTGACATACCGTTCTTTTTCCATGCTGGGGAAACGCTGGGCGACGGCGATTCGACGGATGAGAATCTCTTCGACGCTATTATCTTGGGTACGCGACGCATAGGACACGGGTTCAGCCTTTACAAACATCCCCTTCTCATCGACATGGTCAAGGAGAAGAGGATCTTGGTGGAGAGTTGCCCGGTATCCAATGAAGTGCTACGGCTTTGTTCGAGCATTATGTCACATCCCCTACCAGCGCTGCTAGCCCGTGGTGTTCCCTGCTCGCTCTGCAATGACGATCCCACCATCCTCGGCCAAGGCGTATCTGGCATGTCGCACGACTTCTGGCAAGCGCTGCAGGGATGGGAGAACCTTGGTCTCGAAGGGCTGGGCTCATTGGCAGAGAACAGCGTGCGTTGGGCTAGTCTGGATGATTACAGTGCAAAGGAATGGACCCAAGATATCAAGGATGGAATGTTTGGCAAGGGCGTACGGGCCCAAAGATTGAAGGAATGGGTTAGCAAGTGGGAGAAATATTGTGCCTGGATTGTCGAAGAGTATGGCGTGGACGAGAACGTAGACCAAGAGGAGTAAGTATCAAGCATTCGAGGCTGAAGCACGGCACACAAATGGAGGAATGAGGTTCAACATCGGGTGTGCCCAGATGTACCACTTCGACTTTGTAATGCAGGTATATCTACTATATAAACAAATCTGTAACACACTCCTAGATTATATAAACAGATCTTGTCTAGCTTTGTTTAACTTAAAGATTACTCTATTTACTTCTATGTTACTATAACGAACCTAAGAAAAGTAGAAGCAATCTACTATATATAAGGAATGTTACAAGACACTATAAGCACGTGTTTAAGAGCTTACAAGAAGCGTTAATTATAGCTACGTACAATATCTAGTGTAATATAAGACGTTGCGTAAAGAACAGAGCAGAATATAAAGTAGTAAAAGATATAGCTAAAGCTATACGCAGCGCTTAGGCCTTAGCTAGCTAATTAGTAGATTTTAAGTAGACTAGCAAGCTATCTAAAATCTATATGTTTAGGTATTAGAGAAACTATAGTAGTTACTATAATAGTACCTCTCTCTTACTCTTAAGCTCTTATAAGTAGAGATTATATTATATAGTATAGTAGTTTAGTTGCTAGCTTTATATTAGTTTTAGGCTATATAGTAAGAACTTTACTTTTACTTTTACCTTACTTTAGGTAGCTCTAAGATATTAGAAAACCTCTTATAGAAACTAGCTATAGCTATGTTATTTTTTAGGTTTATAGTAGGTTTCTAGATTATTTTATTATAGTCTATCTATTTAATATAGTATTTATGTTGTCTATAACGCTTATTATAATAGAGGTCTCTAATACTTTCTATAAAGTATTCTTCTTTATTGTCTATAATAACAAGTTTAGATAGTAGAATAAGTTACTCTAGTAGGTACTTCTATTTTAGCGTAGTAGACTAAAGTAAGAATATATAAAATACTAAGTATATCTTTATAGAACTAGGTAGTTTAAGATAATACGCATAGAAAGAGATCTTTTTAGCTACTTAGTATAGGCTAAGATTCTTCTAATTAAGCTTCTTAAATACCTATTATATTTAGATATTACGCGCGTTTAACTATACTTTATTACTAATTTTATATATTAGCGTAAGTAGGTGTTTATAGTTTACGTACTCTTACTATAGAGCTTAAGCCTATATTATTTCTTTATAGATAAACTTAGTAATATTATATATTTTATCTACTATTACGTTTACCTTATAAGCTTAGAGAGCTTAGTAAATAGAATATATCTTATTAGTAGGTAGCTTAAAGCCTATTTAGAGATTCTAACTATAGTAAGCTATTATTAGAGTTACTCTAGTAGACTTAGAGATAGTATTATTAGCTTTAAACTAAGTAGTAGAGAGCTATTAAACTTAATTATCTTATTAATAGTTTATATACGCGCGTAAAACTTATTCTATTATAGTATTAGCGTTCTCTATTTATCTATCTATCTTAAAATAGTAGCTAGTTAAGAAGCGTAGGTCTATTCTTAGTTAAGCATTTAGCTTATTATAGAAAGTAGATATAAACTATCTACTATAGTCTAAGACTATTATATTAAAAAAGCTATAATTATACTAGATATAGTTTAGGAATATATATACTATATTAGAAGCCTCTATTTTATTATAAGAGATTATATATTAGTGCTTAAATAAGTAGTTTACTATAACTATAATATTTTTGTATTCTTTAGATTCTAGTAAGTTAATAATAAAGTTAATAGAGACGTCTACCTAACGTTATTTAAGTATAGGTAGTAGCTTTAGTAAGCTATAGTACTTTTTATAGGAAGCCTTTAAATATTAGTAAATATAGTAGTAAGAAATATAATAGTAAATAGTCTTAAATAGTTAAGGCTAGTAGTATTTCTACTAGATTAGTTTAAGTATTTTTTCTTAGCTAGAGTAGCCTTCTAATAGGAAATTATAGACTATTTATAGAATCTTAATCTTAAGTTTATTACTATTAGGTATTACTAACTTACTATAATAGTAGAGGCAACTCTTATAGTCTTTATAGTTACTAAGTATAACTATCTTAGACTATTATATGCTATTATATAATAGCTTTAGCGTTTCTTAAATAAATAAGTCTTTAGGTAGTCTATTACTTATAAAATAGTACTTATTATTAATAATCTACTAGATAGATCTATTTATCTCTACTAGTTTAATTACTATAAGTTCTTAAAATAGGTTAGAACGTAGTAGAGTCTATTTCTAAGCTTGTCTTACTTTCTTCTAAGTAAGCTAGTTCTAAAAGTAATAGGTAAGAGTATTAGGCTTCTTACTATACTTACTAGATTAGTATATAATTATAAACTAGAATTGTAATAGGTATTTAGACTAGTAGACTTAATAGTAGCTTAGTTACTTTATAGTAGTAAAGTACTATAAGTTCTTATAGTTACTAATTATATTAATTAAGAAAATAGTGCCTTCTAATTCTAGTCTCTACTATTTAAAATAGTAAATAATAGTAAGTAGCTTTTTATTATAGATCTTATAGTTATTCTTAGTAGAGTTTATTTTTTTTAAGTAGTACGCAACTAGATAAAGAACGCTATTAGGTCTAGATTAAAATAGTACTTCTACTATAATATAGTTAGAAGCGTTAGCTTTAATAATAATTAGTAAGTCTAAGTTAAAGTATTATAATATTAGTATAGTAGTAAAAGTATACTTTAAAGCATTAAAAGCCTTCTAGTAGTTATTATTAAAGAAAAATATAGTATTTTTCTTAGTTAGCGCTACTAGTAGAGTAGCTAAGTAGAAGAAACTATCTATAAACTATTAGTAGAAGTTTATAAAGCCTAGAAATACTTTAATATTTTTAATATTATTTAAGTACTTCTAATTTATAATAGCTTATACTTTTTTTAGATATATTTATATTCTATCTACTCTAACTATATAGCTAAGGTAGATTACTTTAGTCTAGTAAAACTTATATTTATTTATATTTAGTTAGAGTCTAGCTTCTTAAAAGACATTTAGAATAGATTATATATACTTCTTATATTTATAGAGATTCTTACTATAAATTAAGATATTATTAAGGTAGGCTATATAGAAGACGTCTAGAAATAGGCGTAGTATATTATTTATAAAGTATTAGAATATGCTTAGTATATTAGCTAGTCTAAAAAGTTTTACTAGGTATTTAAATAACTTATATTAAGTATAGAAGGCTATTAGCTATTTATCTTTTTTAGTAATTTTTAATTAGTTAAAAGTAGTAATAATATTAAGCTTTATATAATACTTAGCTTTGCTTAGTTAGCTTAAGGTCTCTTAGATTAATAGAATTAAGTAATAGTTTTTAATAGTAGTAGCGTTTAAGGTATAGTAATTAATATAAAAGTATAGTCTACTACTAGATTTCTTAATAAAAATAATAAAAGAGGTAACTAGAAAAGAGCTTACGTAAATAAATCTCTTTAATAGGTAATTTTTAAAGTACTTATACAATACTTTAAGTTTATTCTAAGATATACTATATAGTAGGCTAAACTTATACTATTTACTAAGTATTAGTTTAATCTTATAGTTATAAAGCTATTATATAGGTAGCTTATTAGACTTTTCTTATAAAAAGACGTTTATTAAGTTATAATACTTCTAAGAGACTTTTATAAGTAGATTAGTATACTTTTTCTTAGTTAGTACTTTATTAATATTAGTAATACTAATAGTATAGATTTTATAGTCTCTTTTACGTGCTAAGCTTATAAATAAAGTAGTACCTATATAGTAAATATTAAGTTCTAGCTTTAACTTTAATAAGTTATTCTACTTATCTATTAGCTAGGTACTATTAGAGTTAGGTATAGGTTTAAGTATAAGTTTATTTAACTAGTGCTTTATTTTAAGTAGCTAGTTGTTATACTATTATTATAGTATATACTTAAGTTTTAAGTTTTAAAAGTAAACTTTATTATATCTATTATTACTTTACTATACTTTAAAAGAGAGAATAGAAGTTTTAGTAGTTCTAAGATAATATTTTTTATATTTTTAAGTAGTAAAGATTAGTCTTTTCTTATTATAGTCTAGGTTTACCTAGTACTTATTTATTTAGAGTTAGCTAAGTATTAAATTATTATAGCTAGTATTTATAATATAAAGTTATATAAATTTATTATAATTATTATATTATAGCTTTAGAGTAATAGTGTAAGACACTTCTCTATTATTAAGTATAGTTCTAGTAAATCTAGTTAAGTAAATAATATAAAGTAGTAAGTTTTAATATAGTTTTAAGTTACGTGTAAGATCTCTATAAATATATCTAATACTAGTAGCTCTAGTATTAACTAAGGCTTAAAAGTTACTCTTAATACTACTTTATTAAACTATATAAAGTATTATAATATAATATTTCTAGGTATTAGTCTAAGATTTAGACAGAAGTTTAGTAAAGATTTAGTAAGTATATAGTTCTAGAGAGTAACTTATTCTTAGAATAAAGCTTTTCTCTTCTAGAATTAGTTATAAGAACGTTATTCTTAGAATTATAAAAGTTATAAGAATTCTAATAAAATAGAACTAGTAGACTAAGTATAGTTATAGTTACGCGCGCTATAGAATTAGATATACTAAGTAGGTAGAGAAGCGCTATAATTCTTAGAGATATAACCTTTCTAGTTATACTTAAAGTAGTAGTCTTTTTTAATTCTCTTTTATTATTTAGAGAAACTAGTAGAGGTGTATACTAACGCGTTTATCTTTATTACGTTAAAGTAGGTTCTAGAGTAGCATTATAAGTAGTCTAGTAGAAAATAGAGGTTATTATTATATATAAATATTAAGTTAGCGTAATTATTAAGGTTACTAGATAAGGCTTCTCTAACTATTATATATTAAAGTTTATAAAATAGAGAGTTCTAAAGAGACGTAATTAAGCTAATCTTATTTAACTTAGTGTTAGTAGCTAGTTATTAGAATTTAGTAAAGTAAGAGGTAAAGCTACGCTTTTCTTAATAGAGTCTACTTAATTAACTAAGAGCTATTAGCTTCTTATTTAGATTTTTATAGGTAGCTTTAAGAAAGGTAATAAGCTAGTCTATATTATAGATATTCTTATCTAAAAGTAAGTTAATAAGAGCTACTACGTTCTTCTTAAGTCTAGAGTAAGTATATAGTAGGTAAAATCTTTTATTTAAGTATTAGTTTATATTTCTCTTAAGCTTATACCTAAGCTTTTAGATAAAGGTAGAGAGGTTCTTTTATTAGCTATTAAATAAATGTAGGTTAGGTAGATAGTTAGTTTAAGAAGAGTTCTTTAGATTTGCGTTAGG